TTGATGTTAAATCCTTTTTAATAGATCAAAGTGTAAATCATCCCTAAGGGCCAGTTCACACCAGAAAAACACACTCCAGATGAATTTTTGCTTTTATTTCACACTACACTCCATTGTGGTGCCTTCTTGATTCATTTTGCCATCTTCCAGTACAGTTTTGTGCAGAAAAAATGCAGCATGTTCTAATTTTTTTTTTGTACCAGAAACTGACTTGAAGTGATTGCACTGGTGTGAACTAGGGCTATTGCATGTATTTTTAATGCAGAAAAAAATGCACTGGAGTGACTGGACTGCATTTGGTGTGAGTCAGCCCTAAAGCAGATTGACAGCCGGTTGGGATACTCGCCATTGTGACTGGGCGTCATATGACGTCCTGTCAAAATGAGACGCTCACGGGGCCACGCATCAGTGCGATCTGTCACCGGCTGTGACTACAGGACATAGCCGATGACATGTTCCCTCCTAGATTGTAAGCTCCAAGGAGCAGGGCACTCGAACCTCTCATGTATCGCATTGTTTTGTTATTGTACTGTCTCATTTATTGTCTCCCATTGTAATGTACAGCGCTGAGTGAACTGTTGGCGCTATATAAATACTGTATAATAATAATAATATCACTACAGCGGCCCGTTGCCAGTGTCATATGACCGCTGTGACCAATCACAGCAGATCACATGTCAAGTGTATACAATGGATGGCTTCCTGTCATGCCATCCATTGTATACAATTGTGTTGTTAGCTGTGACTGGTCAAGGCAGTCACATGATACAGACAGGGCCATTCACAGCCCATTTGTATCATGTGATCAGCTTTGCCCAATCACAGCTAATCACAACAAAGGACTCAATGAATCAGTTTCATTCAGTAACAATGATTGCAAACATCAATTAAATACATTGATATTAGCAATCATAATGTGTTGAAAAAAAAAAATCCTGATTACTTGCCCAGAGTAGTTCAATGTTACTATGGTAACATTGTATTGCTTTGGTCGCAGTGTGCTGAAAAATAAAAAATTTAATACAATTTTTTTAAAATAATAGAAACATTTGAAAAAAAAAATTCAATTATTTTTATTTTCACCAAAGAAATGTAGCAGAATACATTTGACCTAATTGTATGAAGAAATGTTATTTATTTGCAAACGTTTATAGCAGAAACAAAGAAAAGTGCATTTTTTTCCAAAGGTTTCAGGTGTTTTTTGTTTTATTTAGCAAAAAAGGAAAAAGTCAGTGGTGATTAAATATCACTAAAAGAAAGCTCTATTTGTGTGAAAAAAAAAAATGATAAAAATTTCGTATGGGTACAGTGTTGCATGACCGCGCAATTGTCATTCAAATTGCAACAGCACTGAAAGCTGGAAGAGGTATAAGTGCCCGGTATTTAAGTGGTTAAAGCATATTTTTGTCAATTTTAATGTTACTTTGTTTTTCCTATTTTTTCTAGATCAGTACCATGATTTTTAATAAATGTCTACCACAAAAAATCTGTTGTATATTTTTAATTTATTCATATTATAGAAACAAGCTTAGAAAAGACTACAGATTTGATAAAAAGTATGGTCAGGTTTAAATGATTTGTTCCAGTATTTAAAGTGTGGAAAATTTCGGCCAGTTTGTCAGTATTAAACACACCACTGAGGTTCAGGACATAAACAGGTACATGATAACTATGGCAGTGTAGTTACTAACCAATTGGTAACATTTCTGTATTCCTAACAGACATTATAATATTGTTACCCAGCATGTCTAATATGTTTAAAAAGGGAGGAAACGGATGCACTATGCTATCAATCAATTCTATGGGTGTGAGGGAGAGGTGGTAAGATTTAATATTGGTGAAGGCATCCACTTCCATTGTACACTTTATTACATTCACTAAAAGTTAACATCCATTATCCTCATCTATGTCCCCCACCAATAGAAACTCATTGACAGCATAATATTTCCTAGTGTCATGTCTACTGAGTGTTTTACAATGTAACTCCCTCCCCCACTGCTGTTGTTCCAAGTATGGGAGCTACTGTATAGCATATACTAATCTAGATTTCAATACTAATTTACATATTTAACAAGGTAGGACTTAGAGTGGTCCATAAAGGTATCTAAATAGTTTTGCTATGATAGTTATAATTGCAATGATTAAAATAAATAAGACAGAAAACAGAACAGGAGAGATATTTAGAAGTGGGAAAACTACTGAAAAACCAGTAAGGCCCCATGTACACGGGATGTTTCTGAATGATAGAAACTGACTGCTGGAAAACGTAGGTTAAAAAACGTCTGTTTAGCTGCATTTGCATTACACGTTTATGTGTGTTTGCGTTTAGAAGCGTTTTTTTTAAAGACAAGCACAGGAGAACCTCCCAAATGCCCAGAATGCACTGAAAAGTGGTAAAGTATTAACTATTTCAGACTGTCTCAGAGAAATACAGAGAGTAGAAGCAGAGACAGCAGTATGTGTTGAGATAATTAGGTGTGAGTTGCTCATTAACATTTCATTTGTTTTCAAGGGTGGGAAAGGTGTCTGGTGGAGTTAGTCATTAGGGTCACCTGACAGGGGGTCTTCATGAGGAATGTGAGGTGTGAATGGTCATTAACATATCTTTTGCTTTCAAGGGTGGGAGAGGGCTGAGGTTTGAATTGGTCATTACAATGTGTGACAAGCTTGGTAGGAACTTCCTGTATTCAGTGTTTTGTCTATCTGAGTACCTTGAAAACGCTTTGCATGCATTTTTCATGATGAAAAAAAGCTCTGGACAGCATTGGGAACTGGAAAAGTAAAAAAAAAATTCAGAAGCAGATGCTCATAAACGCGATTTGCCGTGTTTGAAACGCTGATAAAATCGACTGCTGAATGCAAGTTTTCATGCGTTAAAAAAAAACTGTAAACTCAACTGCCTGTAAATGACTGTAAACGAAGATGTGTACATAGACACATAGGAAAACATTAGGGTGAGTTCAGGGGCTGCTGAAAAAACGCTGAACAGCTCCTAAATGTGAGTTTATCAGCTGCAGTGTACATGAGCCCTAAGACTAGAAGGGGATAAGGGGACAGGAGGAGGAATTCTTGGGGATTGGGCTACCTTTTGGTAATTATCATATACTCAGATCGTGTTGGGAACAGGCTATCCATGGGGGCCACATTTTTAGGAATTTCTCATGTTTTATCCAGTAAAATATCTGTTATTAATTCATTTATCATTGTGCCATTTAGTTGTGTTTTAACCTCTTGGAAGCTTAGTATGGGAGATTCAAAATTTGACTATGTTTTGATTGGTGGCACTGAATATAAATGTAGTCATTTTGACCTGTTACGGTAGACATCTTAGAATGATTTATTTAAGAGGACCTAGACAGAGTCATTGTGCAAGTTACAATTCAGTTTAAGATGCTTTCACATTTTATTTTAATGCATCTTTTCTTCTGAACTATGGCTCTCTCATTATAAGCCTGTACTACCATTTTTACAGCATGTAAAAGCACTCAACAACTTTTAAACTTTAGAACATATGACTCAGTGCTGTCAGAAATTGAAAGAGGTAGCATGATATAGTAGAAATATTTTAACTAATGTAATAATAAAAAGTATACTGTATTAGAAAATAAAAATATTAAATCATCAGCATAGCAAAATAAAATCATAACCAAGAGCTAATGCAGTTTTTCTGTACAATTATTTCACAGGTTGCTGAACTGACAAGTCTGTCTAAGCATATATCTAAAGTACCTTAATTATCTCTAGGCCACTTTCCACTAGATTCTTTTGGGTTCAGACTGGATACAAAGCCTGAAGCATATGGTTTATACAGTATATTGCATAACTCCTAATCGGTGTAGACTGTATAACTGCTGCTGGTTGTCATCTTTTTTTTATGCTTTATGGAAAGTGTGATCTATGAATAGAGAATGGGCAGATGATTGAAAGGTCTGCCCCCTCAAATCTTATTTTCTTAGCTATATTATGGCTCCTACGGCTATTATGACTACAGTATGTAGGATCCAAAATGAAAAAAAATTTTAATAGACATTTTAAAAGCCTGTAGACTAGAATGTGTTCTTAGCATTATGATTGGTCCCTATATTATATTGGAGCAGAAATTATTATGTAGATGGGAGCACCTGTTCTGCAGTTTGATACTGGTTTCATTTGGACCCGAACCTGCCTTGCTTGTGGGGCTTAGAATATGCTATTGAGCTGCACTAATTTGTGCATATGGATGCATGTTCTATTTACTGACTTGTAAAATCTAACATGTAACACCAATAAGCATGTTCAGGGCTGTATTTGACGTGGGGAAAAAGGGTCAGCTGCCCTGGGCCCTGTCATTGTTGTGGGACCCAAAGCAGCTGCCGCTTGCGCCTGACCTGTCCACAAATTGGAGCCGCCCCAGTGCCATGATGGCACTGCATAACTACCAGATACATGGAGGCAACACTGTAATGTATTCCACAGCCAACAGGAGAGGTGGTGGGGCCAGGAGCTCCAATGACGGTCCAACCCTACCCAATGCAGCCTGTTTGGTTGGGAGGAGACTGTGGTTACAGTAGCAGCTAGGAGGTGGGTTTGGATTCTGAGTGGGAGTGGTTAGTGGTAGTGCTGATTGCTTTGGCCAGACTGCATTTGCTGATCGTATGGTGAGTTGGCTGCAGGTAGGTCATTCTCCCCCAATGTCCAATATACTGAGTAATTGCTTGGATTATTTCCTAACCCTGACCTGTGGTGTTCACCAATTAGAGCATGGGCCACCTCGTGGCAGCGGCATTGTCTATTACTGCTTGATGGCGGGCTTTAAATGTTATTGATGTGCACAGTGCAATAGATCGCAATGTGTGTGCATCCAAATGGCAGGCAAAATATTTCACCGCAAAGCAGTGTTCCTGTTTATTGTCATCTCTGAGCTCTCCAATCCCTATATTATCCTAAGGCTGAAAATTGTTGTAAAGGGTGAAGGTTTCTCCCCCTGCAGCCCCCCCAAACAGGGGCGGACTGACAACTTGTGGGGCCCCCGGGCAATAGGGGATCATGGGGCCCCTGTGTCCTTGCCCAAACTCAAAAAAGCCTATCAAAAAGATACCAGGGGCATCTCATGGGGCCCCCTACTGACCCCGGGCCCTCGGGCAGTTTCCAAATGGTCAGTCTGCTCCTGCCCCCAAATAACCTAAGCCCCCATCTCGATCCTGCAACATGCACAAGATCCTCTTTCCTCCAGGATCTATATCCCCATATTGGCTGAGACAGAGCAGCATGAGCCATTGACCTGTGTATCCTGTTGAAACACAGAGATGGTTCAAAAGCGAGCATCCATGAGTGCCCCCAGAGCAAGCTTGGCAAGGGAAAGGGGCCAGGATCGCCAGTGGGGGACCCAAAAAGTAGAGAATTGGAGCTGCTCTGTGCAAAACCATTACATAGAGCAGGTAAGTATGACATGTTTGTTATTTTAGTGTGGAACTTCACTCTCCTAACCAACACTGAATTTTTTTTAATTCTTTTGATGTTAGCGTTTGCAATACATAGGAGGGTATTCTATTTACTTGTTTTAAACTTTTTTTTTTTTACATATCTTTAGTTACTTCAAGTTTTCCAGGCTCTTGCAGACTGTCAGTGTGAGCTGTTTGCTCATGCATCATATGGTCCGGCAGTTACACACTGACAGGAAGCATAAATTAACTACCTAAAGAGCTCAGCAGCACCATGGTAGTTCATTGAGAACTCCAAGCCATCAGCCGCAAAGACTTTCTGTACTTGCAGTTCTCCCATTCACAGAACTCTGTGGGGGCCCAAGAAAATGTTTGCCTTGGGTCCAATCAATATTATAGATGGCCCTGAGCATGTTTTTTTCATATGTAAAATGAGCCTAGCTTCAGATATAGGTTTCATGTTATAAGTTACGTGCAAGTTTAACACTTACCTCTCACAGAGATAAAATGTATTGCAATTGACAATGCCTTCATCTGCTTTTCTCAGTGGGAAGGTGGCACTATCTCTGTTCAGGCATTAGCCAGAGTCAGCATCTATGTCCTGCAGCCCTGCATAGGCGGCACTAATAGGTGGCACTGATAGGCGGCACTGATTGGAATGGTTAGGCAGCACTGATATGCGGCACTGGTAAGCAAAAACTGACTGGCACTAATAGGCAGCACTGACTGGCACTGATAGTTGGCACTGAAAGGCAGCTCTGATGGGCACTGATATGTGGCATTGATTTGCACTGATATGTGGCATTGATGAGCACTGATGGGCACTAGTATGTGGCACTGATGTGATGGGTCTACACTGATAATCAGTGCCCTGATGATCAGTGTACATGTCCTCTCTGAGGAATGCCGCTTACCGGTTCTCTTCTCAGTGGGAACGTGGCACTATCTCTGTTCAGGCATTAGCCAGAGTCAGCATCTATGTCCTGCAGCCCTGCAGCATGCTGGTAGGAGCCTTTTTTTTCTTCTCAACCACTTGCCTATAGGGCACTTTTACCCCCTTCCTGCCCAGGCCAATTTTAAACTTTCAGTGCTGTCGCACTTTGAATGAGACAGATAGAGCTTTCTCTTTTTATTTTTTGCTAAACAAACTAAAAAATCCTTAAAAAAAAAGTTTTTTCTTAGTTTCTGTTATAAAACTTTGTAAATAAATAATTTTTCTCCTTCACTGATGTGCGCTAATGAGGCTGCAGTGATGGGCACTGATAGGTGGCACTGATGAGGAGGCACTGATGGGCATTGACAGGCATCACTGATGGGCACTGAAAGGCAGCACTCATACATGGCACTGATAGGCGGCACTAATAGGTGGCACTGATAGGCGGCACTGATAGGCGGCACTGATTTGAGTGGTTAGGTGGCACTGACTGGCACTGATAGGCGGCACTGACTGGCGGCACTGATAGGCAAAAACTGACTGGCACTAATAGGCAGCACTGACTGGCACTGATAGTTGGCACTGAAAGGCAGCTCTGATGGGCACTGATATGTGGCATTGATTTGCACTGATATGTGGCATTGATGAGCACTAGTATGTGGCACTGATGTGCACTGATAGGTGGCAATTATGGATACTGACAGGTGACACTGATGGTTCTACACTGATAATCAGTGCCCTGATGATCAGTGTAAATGTCCTCTCTGAGGAATGCCGCTTACCGGTTCTCTTCTCAGTTGCTGTCAGCGTGAGGAGAGGGCTACTGATAACCAGCATTTCCTATTTACATGCGATCAGCTGTGATTGGAAACAGCTAATCACATGATAGAGCCTACGTCATCGGCTCTTTACTGCGACTGGTGATCCGCTGTGTCCCATGGACACAGCACACCACAGATTGCCGAGCGCCCTCGGGGGCGCGCATGCACAGCTAAAGTGATAGAACGCCATATGATGTCCTTCCAGAACGAGAGAACTGCCGCCCACCCATCATTTCTATATATGGCGGGCGGGAGGCGGTTAGATGAACTGTAAGACTTTGTCCACCTTTTGCTGTGATGCACCTTGAATGTACAGTACTTATTTAAATTAAAGCTACAATGGGCTTTAAGATGACTCTAAGGGCTCGTTCACAGGGGTCGTTCCCTCTGAAGAGCATTCCGCATTGAATTGCTCTTCAGTGGGAAATTGGACAGGTAGTGAGGAAGCATTATGTCACCTCCTCAACACCTAATTTAACTCTGTAAATGCTACACAACTATCACACCGCAATTGCATGCACTGCATGCAGCAGCAGGTCAGCTGTGGTGCAGCCCCATGAACTTGAATAGTTCCTGTTTGGTGACAGTAATGTCACAATATTTAATTTTTGCCATGGCCGCGATCCTGTGCATGCTGTGCACAGGGTTGCAGGGCAGCTGTGTCATGGCCTCATAGACTTGCATTGGCCGTGTTTGGTGGTTGCAACAACTTGCTGTTTATTTTTTGCCTCAGCTAAGATGCTGGACATGTGTACAGCCCTGAGTAGCTGCATGCCAAGGGCCTGTTAAATGGTTGGGGCAGTAAAACCTCAGCTCAACTACCTGGATTTACCGCCCCTTAGCCTCACACGTGAACAAAGCCTAGTTGCATTATTAGCTTTGCTTGTATTCTGACAAATGTAAGCAGTCATAAAAGGACATAGTCATTCCTGAGTGCCTGTGCACACAAACTCTAAAAATTACCAGAATAATTACAGTAAAATGTTTTAATATTATTTTATTATTTTTATGTTGATATTTGATTTGTTAAAAAAAACAATAGTTTAAATGCTTTGTATTTGCTAAATCAAACAGTTTCCATTAGCAATAATTTAAAATGTTGCTTTTTTCTGGATATCTGAAAATACTTTAATGTAACTTAGCATGAAAGAACCAGTGTTTATAATGCTCCAGTGCCAGTTTGATATTCCATTAATTTGCTTTGTCTGGCTACAAAATGAAGTAATAAAAGAGATCACTATCCAGTGACTGAAGATATTTTTTTACAGGACTCATTTTAATGTATGACTCTTTTTTTTTTCTATTATAAACTATTTCTTTGATATTTCGACAATAAAATATGCCATCACATAAAATAAATATGAATGTTGAAGAAAAGGAATTAATAATACCAGGCCTTACTGTGCTGTATTTGAACAAACGATGGTGTAATGAATGTGCAGATTAAAAAATGTGCAGAAAAAAATTAGCAAATGTACAGATCAAAGAGTTACATGAAATGGTGATTGTGAACAGAGTAAAATCAAAAAGCGCTGGATGTCAGTAACCCAGTTTGACTTTCTTCCAATTGCTCCACTTTTGCTATGCTGATTTTTTTTTTTCCTCTTGAAGGTAATGACATATATTTTCTGCATCGCAAAGCCAGATTTTTCAGAAAAATGTGCTTTTGTTTTAGTCTACTGAAAAGAAAAAAAAAGAACAAAACATAATGAAAAATAATAAACTTAGCATTTTTTGTTATAATTCAATATTACCTCATGGAATATGAACAAAAATGTTACAAGTAGTGATTAGTAACCACAGTGTAAAATAACAATAGCTTAAGAGGGTTCCCAGTGCCACTGTGATTTTTAAAGGGTAAGTTTGCCTTTTCAGAATGAAAATGTGAACTAACTTCAAATATCCTGGCCATCCCTCCAGACCAGGGGCGGACTGACCATTTGGGCACTCGGGTACTGCCCGAGAGCCCAGGGTCAGTAGGGGGCCCCATGAGATTCCCCTAGTACCTTTCATAGGCTTTTTGGGGTGTGGTTTGAGTGTAGATGAGGACACAGGGGCCCCATGATCCCCTATTGCCCCATGAGTTGTCAGTCCGCCCCTGCTCCAGACCCCACTGCACATAGTGCCCATGATGCCCCAAGCTACTGGTGTAGATGTCTATACACTGTACACCTCAATACACAATTCTTAAATTAGTAACCATCATAATGCTTGCAATGTCAATCACTCATTGGTCAGTGCAACCATGTGGCCTTGCTGACCAATAAGACGCACATCCAAGACTTCAGCTTCCAGGAAGGTGTCCAAGATGAAAAAAAAATTGCTTCTCCTTGGTCAACACGGTCACGCATCTTGCTAACCAATAAGCACTGCCATTAAGAGCATTATGATGGATACTCCCACTAGGGCTGTTTATTGTGGTGTGCGGTGTATGGACCTCTACTCCAGCAGCTTGGGGCATCACCACCACTATAGTCAGTGGTGTCTAGATGGGTGACCAGGATATTTGGAGCTTTCATTTTTTGTGAAAAGTGAATTTACCTTTTAATGAAGGTCTCTGACATTTTGGATACTAAAGGTAAGAGGAGTTTTAAAGTGAACCGTGCCCTTCCAACTGCTATACCATCTAACACCTGTGCATAGAAGCTCTTTTAAGCCCCTAATTGCTCCCTTTCTCATGTCACAGTTCTCTAGTGCATCACCTTAATAAAGGAGGCCTGTGTGACCCCCAAAATATTGGACTTTATCACACAGATTCTCAAGTAAATTGTGCAGATAAACTGTGTGCAGAATTGGTCTTTTCTTTTTTTTTTTATTAATAGTCTCACTGGGCATCCAAAATATATAATGGAATTGGAGGTATGCATGCTGAATGATAGCAAGTAGCAATGCTCAAGCTGACATTGGAAGG